CAGCCAACTAGACAGAATCAAAAGCCAAAGTAAAAAAATAAGTTTTAAGACGTGATTTAAAGACTGGATAGACTCAGCAGTACGAATATGAACAGGGAGGTTATTCCATTAAATGTTTAAATGTTGAAATATTAAATGTTGAAACTATGATTATATTGGGTTATGTTTGTGTTCATTTTTAGTCAAGAAAAAGGATTTTCTTTAGATTGTGACTCTTGGATGTGGCTGTAAAATTAATTTGTTTGAAGCGCTGGAAGACACATTTCATGTCCATACGTGGCCGGGGAAAAACGGTAAATGTAGCTTATAGCAGATTTTCACAGAGTTCAAATGTGCTGTTCAGCTCTACAAATTTCATGTGGATATCTGAGGCTCAAAAATGCCGGGAAAGTGACTTAAAAGACACAGAATTTCAACCCACCCGTGAGTTCCTTCAGGACACATAACCAGGAAACTTTTCATAGTTTGAAGGTGAACATTTTGCAAGGTTTCATTAGATCTGTGAAAGTTATTGTACGTAATAAACTAGCTGATTCTGAAGGGCTTATTAGGTGGGATGCACTGATTGATCCTTCCTGAAATGGCCCATAACACCTTTTCTTTATGGCTTCCTGCAGCTTTGCCATTGGTCCAGGTGGATGAGAAGGGGGAAAAGGTGCGACCCAATCAGAACCGCTGCATCGTGATCCTCAGAGAGGTTCCAGAGAGCACGCCCATAGAGGTCAGTGCCGAAACAGGATGTCCAATTACACGTCTGTCATTTGACGCTAATGTCATGAGTCAACAAACACTAGAAGCATTATTATTCCATGGAAATGGCTCACGCCTAGAACACAAGCATAGCTTATGTACACTGTAGACGCCAGTCTGGTCTGGGTGTCTGATTGATAGTTTGCCTTTATGGTCTGTTCACATTTGTTTAGGTCTTCTATTTACAGTCCCAGTAGTTAAACTGGGAATGTAAATAGAAATGCAAGTAGATAAATGTTTACTTTTAGTTAATTAAATTTAGTTCTTCTTTAATATTTTACTCATTTCTGAATTCAGGGGGAAATATTCTGCTAATGAAGTTTAAACATGGATGAAGTCGACACACTCTGAATTATTTAATGTTTCTGTTAGAATGCACAACTTAATATAGTGAATTCTTATGCCTCAGTCACCATAATTATTAGTTTTTTTGTTATCATATGTGCCTGAACAGGTAACTCTACATGTATCCTTGATTTATTTAGGATTTGGCGCGTTTTATGTCACGTTCTTGGATATTTTTTAAATCAATCTCTGTTATGCTTAAAGCGGAGTCTGCAGAATGCTGTCACTGTTACACATTAAGCTAATTAAACCATGATAACAAGGTGGTATGACTCTGAAGGAGACCAGAGAGTAGACATTTAAGGTAGACACCTCACCTTTCCAAAATGCAAAGTTGGGATTTTATCCAGTCAGGACCCGTCCTTTCCCAGCAAGCACCACAAACCACACATTTTGAGCATTTCGAGGTTATTGAGAAACATTTTCCCGTCGAGCAGTGAAGGTAAAACATTTGCAGAGTCTTGTGTGATATCAGTAACTCGCTTATCTGCCCCAGCCCGACAGAACATTTTCAGTTCAGCTGACTCCGAGCTAATGACTGTTATCACAGCAGTGCATTTTCAGCTCCGCAGAAAGTCCACGTCAAACAGATCTGCTCATATAAACAATGTTTTTCTATCACATCATTCCCCATATTTCCTTAATACTGGAAAGTACACTAGTTATTTTGCTCAGAGCA